GTGTTTCTACCTTCTGGTAGTCAAACCCTTACATAAGCCCCTTTCTTTGAGTATGGGGAGAATCTATGACTTGCATAAGACATAACCCCCGTAATTATATTATATGAGACTTTGTCTTGCTGTATACCACCCTTCTGGCATTTTTATCTCAGCCTTTTGAGGCCCTGAGAGATAAACCCAGCTAGCCCTGCCTAGGCTCTTCACCCAAAGCAGCTGTGAAATAAGAAATTTGTGTTGTGAGTTTATGGTGATCTGTATGCAGTAATAGGAAACTAACACAACCACCTTGAAGGGTGTTCTATCCAGGAGAAGACCTGCCAGGATGAGAGAGCTCCAGAAGATAGAAGTGAAACTCATACACTCTCTACAGCAGAAAGGGGTCTCAGAGGCAATAGGTTATTGTTTATGTCAGGAGCTGTGTAGGGAAATATCCAGGCGGAGCTGCCAGTTCTTACAAACCCTCGCTTCTATACTCCCCGAAAGTCAGGAATTTAAACTCATGTCACAAAGAGGCATCAGCAACCATCACATCTTAGTCACACAGAAAGAAATTTGAAAAAAAAAAATCATTATCTTAATTAAATCTTAGGGCTATTTTTCTCTAATCATCTCTGCTCCCATCCTGAGAAGAGGGCAGCTAGGGGAAGAGGGGAAGGAAGAGCATTTAAACTACAGAGGCTGCACCCCCATCCAGACACTGAGGCCTGAACTGATGGACGGTGACAGGGGACGGGGAGAGTAAGTATTGAATACAATGTCAGTTTGTGGTATTGACTTTGCTGGTCCGTTCTATTAAGTGCATAAAAGTGAGTCATGGTTATTGAAATGGAACTTGTTATTGTAATTGAAAATGATTAGGAAGTCACCAGGAGGGCTCTGCCCATGTGAACCGATTAATCAGTGATTGCAAAGTCTTCAAACTAAAGTGATTAGAAAATCTTTTAGAAGATAAGATGGAGGGATGGGTCAGGGAGGAGAAGAGTAAAGTTTTGTTGTTTTTGCTCTTTGAATTCAGCGAGTCAATAAAGTAATAAATATATGCTCTTGTAAAAGGGACATTAGCCAGTAACTTTCACTTCCTAATATGTAAAATGGGAATAATCCGTGTCCTACCTACTTACGTGATTGTTTTAGGTATTTCTATAAAGATGATGTATTATATGAAAGTACTGTGTAAATTCCTTTGTAACTGTGGTCTGTTGCCGTCCTGTTCTATATTGATATTCTGAAGCAGGTACCACTGGGAATGGAACTGGATACAGAGAAGTTCACTTCCACTACACAAAATCCCCTCAGTCATCTGGTGTAACACACTACTTCCTTTCAAAAGTTTATAATTATGTGTTGTTAATTCTAGGGCAGAAAAGTACCCTGCTGCCGCTGTGTGCTGACTTAATATGCAAATACACTGAATATTTTCAGTAAATCTCAAGGGCTTTCCTGTGGGAATACATAGTAGCTCACAAGATTCTGGAATTGGGAAGGAAGGAATGATGAACTATTCCAGATTGGAGAAGCCTTGGGAGATTCGACAGCAAAGGGCAGTTCATGTCCCATGCATTCCATCATCCTTTAGAAAGGACACCACTGGTCCAGCTGGGAAGTCCTCAATAGTTTCTGTGAGGAAATAGAATATGGGGGTTATATATTTGTCAAAAAGCTCTTGCAGTTTTCCTATCGTCCTGAAAGTATTTCAAAATAAACAAATGAAAAATGTGATATTTTCTAATTCACACATGAAAGATGTGCTAGTTCTACATCTGTCCGCATCTAACAGCACAGCCTCAAAAGAAAATGTCAGAAATGAACAAGGCTAAAGGAAACAAGAGATAAACTCCAAATCGGGGTGGGAGCTTTGAACAAACATCTCTCAGGAATGATGAAAGATAAAAATAAGGAAAAACACAAACTGAGAATGTAGTTCACAAACTGAACCCAATTTACATATATAACAACTTGTACTCAAATGTTGTAGAATATATGTTCCTTTTACACTCATATGAAGCGTTTTACAGAATGAAGTAAAATTGAAAAATAGAATAAATTTCTAGAAAATCAAGTTATAGGAAGTGGCCAAAGGATGAAAACGATACAAAAAAGGGAATTTTGTGGGCTGAATTGTGTCCCCCTCAAAATATGTTGACACCCTAATGCCCAGTGCCCCCAATTGGGACTATATTTGGAGAGGTGACAAAAGTTAAATATGTCAGGCCCTAACTCAGAGTGACTTTTGTCTTCATAAGCACAGGAAATCTGGGCACATAGGGAGACGCCAGGGATGTGTGTGCACAGAAAGCCCAGGCTGGGTGTAGTAAGATGGCCACCCGCAGGCCTCAGATAAAACTAAACTTCCGATACCCAGATCTTGGACTTCAGCCTCTAGAAATGTCAGAAACAAATTTCTGTTGTTTAAGACACCCAGTTTGAAGTATTTTGTTGCAGCAGCCTTAGCAAACTAATACAGGGAAAGTTTTCACAACAGCTGTGATTAACAAAGGCATTTACAGAATAAAATTAGTCTCTGAATTAGGATGGATCAATTTATAATTTTTCAACTTCACAATGCACCCATACAACCATTCTCTTTTCTCACTTTCAGTACAGTATTCAATAAATTACATAAGATATTCAATACTTTATTATAAAATAGGTTGTGTTAGATAATTTTGGCCAACTCTAGGTTATTGTAAATGTCTTAGGTTTTGTTTTGTTTTTTTTTTTTTTGATTATGACAAAATATCTGAACCTGGGCATTTATAAAGAAAATTAATCTCCTTCTTATGGCTATGGAAGCTCAGAATTCCAAGGTTGAGGGGCCACGTCTGGTAGGAAGAGCATTCCCGGGTGGAGCAGGGTGTCAGGTGGCGAGAGAACTGAGGGTGCTAACCTGCTCGTTCAGCTCCCTCCCTCTTCTTATAAAGCCACCACCACTCCCACTCTCATGATAACTCATTAATCCACTAACCCATTAATTCACAAATGGATTAATCTATTCATGTGGCCAGAGCCCTCCTGCTTCAGTTGCCTCTTAAAGACCCTACCTTTCAATATGGGCACAGGGAGGCTAGGCTTTTAACACATGAAAACTGCGGGATACATTCAAAACATAGTAGTAAGTGTTGTGAGTGTGTTCAAGGTAGGCGAGGCTGAGTTGTGCTATTGGCAGCTTGCACGTATTAAATGCATTTTCGACTTACCATATTTTCAACTTATGAGTTCATTGAAAAGTAAACCCCACTATTAAAAGGCATCTGTATATGAAGAATTACTAAAAAATAATAATGAAATTACAAGAAAATTGAGTAAATCAGTCATATATATGTGTGTATGCAGTGTCTTTTCTAAAGTTCAGATTTTAAAATTCTAAACTCCAAGGTGATGGTATCGAGAGATAGGGCCTTGGGAGGTGATTAGGTCACAAAAGCAGAGTTTTCCTGAATGTTCTCATGAAAGAGGCCCAGGAGATCTTGTCACGTCTTCCACCGTCTGGGGACATAGCAAGAAAGTGCCATCTATGAACCCGGACGTAGGCCCTGTCCAGATGCCACATGCTGTTGTCTTGATCTTGGATTTTCCAGTCTCTTTGAGTGTAAGAAATAAATTTTGTTGTTTATAAGCCACTCAGGGTCTATGGCATTTTGGTATGGAAGCCTAAAAAGACTTGGGATCATAAATAAACTGAGTTAAAAATGCTGTAGTCTACAGTAATAATAGAATTACTATTACGGTAGAATGTTATTGTTACAGCAATTATTACTACATGCAACAATTTTATGAATCTCAAAAACAAAATGTCGAAAGACAGACACAAACTTTATGACTGCATTTAATACAAATTTGGAAAAGAAATAATTGTATGGTTTAGAAATCACGATAGTGATTAACTTTTGAGTTCCTGTCTCCTCCCACTAGTAGGAAGTAGGCCCAGGAGATCTCCTGGGCTACAGGGAGTATTTTATGTCCAGAACTGATTTGTGCTTACGCAGGTGTGTTCTATAAGCTGCAGTGTGTTTATGAATTTATGCACTTTTATGTTTATCCAGAGAGTACCAAAAAAGCATACACATTTAAAGAAAGGAAAAATCGGGATTCAAATTATAAGGCTCAACATATACTGGTAACAAAAGATGAATACAAATCTCATATGATTTTTGCAGTTACAAGAAGTGCTCCAAGCGGTTACCATCAGCTCCAGATGCTTCTGATTACGCCAACTGCTCCACCAGCAGCGCTGACCACAGCGTCCGCTTGTATCGCTGCGCATGGCGTCTGAGTTTCTGTGGAAGCACCGCCAGTGTAGCAGGTTTTCCGCAGTGCACCGCATGCTTTAAGGTACCACAGAGGGAGAGTCCAGGGGTGTTAAGTCAGAGAGTGCGGGAGACTCAGTTGCACCTCTTTCCTCTCTCCACTGTCCTGGCAAATTCTCACCAAGGTGAACCCTCACATCTCAGGGCATGTAATAATCGGGATGAAAACTTTTCGCTTTGCTTTTTGAAGAAAGCCCACGTGCTTGTTCTGCTAACTCCCATCTCAAGGGCACCTTGTTCCGTGGACTTCTGTGGTGAGCGAGCGAACCGTTCCAACTCCACAGCACAGGCAGCAGGACGGTTGCTGCGCGAGGCCTCCGGGACCTTCCCCTGTGCGCATCACACAGCCCCGGGCGTCTCGCTTACCCTGAATGTGCGCGGTTCTTAGGCGGGAGGTCCCGTTGCTCACCTGCGCCTCCTCTGTTGGACTCCCAGAGTGGTCTAGAACTATAAATGGTCTTGCGCTCCTCAAACGGCTATGGTGCTTCTGCCACTTTCTTTGTCCTGCCTGTCTCTTGGTGACTCTAACATTCGCTTGATTGATGCCATCTTTTCAGTGAACGTCATATTACCGTAATTCAGTTCAACTTCAAAAAGTAATACATAGATAACATCTCTTAACATTTGTATACGTTTTTGGCATCCTTGGTTTATTGTAATTCAACATCTTTTTTAAAAAAATAGAAATTCATCATGCTCGCTCCAGCAGCACATACACTGAAGTTGGAACGATACAGAGACGGTTAGCATGGCCCCTGCGCAAGGATGCCACGCAGGTTCGTGAAGCATTCCATATTAAAAAAAAAAAAAAAGAAAGAAATTCATCATATAACATTCCAACAGGTTTTTGGCTTTATTGATACATGGCTATTTAAACATTGTTTTTATCATTAGAGAAAAATAAGTGACTTGATTATTTTCCACTATTATTTCCTGTAGAGGTTTGATATTTGCTTCCTCCAGCAATTTCCCAGTGGTTTCAATAATTCTAGTCTATTTGGGGGTTCACTTTTTGATTTTCATTGCTGAGACTTTACAGGTAGTATATTGACCCTCATCCAAAGCTGGTTTCATGAGCTTGCCATCTGGATCTGTTGGTTAGGTGGTCTCAGGGGGCCCCGCCCTCAGAGGAGCTCTATGCTTAGTTACTATTCTGCTGCTATCTTTTGAGAGTTTTGATCATTTTTTATCTTTGCACTGTGTCTTGTAAGTGAAGTGGGTTGGGGCAATGGTGCAAAGGAGATAGGCACCAAATAGTGAGCCACCTTCCTTGCTGCCCTGTTCACATACAGGACTCGTGATGCCCCAGGAGCTCACAACTTATACCATCCAAGAGGCATGGAAGTTCAACAAAACTTAAAGCAAGAAGAACATGTTACTTCCACAGCTGATTGAGCAGGAGCATTGACAGCCCAAAGAGGCCACCCATTCTGTTCAAATGAGAGCTCCTTCAAAGGGAAGAAACAAAAGTCCTTCTAAGAAACATTGTGACCATGGAGCACTAGCAGGTCCTTGGTTACTTATGTTAATTCCTTATATTTGCTCAACTGCTGACTCTGAAAATAACGACACAGAAGGAAAGGGAAAGATAGGACAGGTCATTGTTCCCATTCATTTCAGAGCTCTTTTAGTTGTCAGCATAATTAGGTGAATGATGGTAGAACGTGTATGTATCAGGAAGAGAAGTGAAAGCAGGGGAGTTCATTTTGTATGTTTCAGCTCTTCTCGCGGAATGGAATCTGTATGAGATATGAAACATGAATTTAATTGCTGTGATTCTTCATACTAATCAACCATTCATATTTACATTTAAAACTAGCATTAGACACTATACAAATGAAGTGTAAAATTCTTGCTAATCATTTAAACTTTAGGGTTTTTTCTTTCTTTTTCCTTCCTAGAAAGACCTTAGATAGCAAATAAATGTACCATATAACAGGACAAAAAAATAGATGATGGGAGAAAATAAGTTTTATACACACATTTGAGTAATTTTGAGGGAGCTTTTTTTTCATGTTTTGTGAGCAAGGGACCTTGCCCTTTCATTTTGCACTGAACACAGCAAATTATGTAGCCAACCCTGCCTGTATCCCTGCATGGTCCTGGTCTAAATTCTTTGTCTCAGAAATGGCTGTTTTCCCCACTCAAAGAATCAGATGGATAGTTTCTAAATGTTTATCTGAGCCACCAAATAGAGGTTCTCTAATCCATGGATACTGTGAGGACCTAAAGGTTTTTCTCCCTTTTAGCAGGAGCCCTTACTTTGCTTCTGGGAGTATATCTGCCTCCAAAACGCCCACGGGAGAGGGCACATGGGCATCTTCTGATAGCTTTCTATTCATTTCTAGTGAGCAGATGTCTCTTTGTTTCAATCTTAGTTATAACATTCACTTATTTATTTATTCTAGTTTTATTGTGTCCTATATCACATCAGTTTCTAGTGAGAAAGGATTATACTGAATTAGTTTTGTTTCCTGCCATATCTCTAAAAGTCTTTGTTAACATTTTACAATCACCAAATTGTTATTTTGTTATTCCTTCTAAATTTGAAGAATACTAATTCATCATTACCCTAAATTTACTTGGCCTGGCCTTTATACCCTCTGCCATATGCTGAAATGTTGGTAGCTTTCATTCATCTGTAGAATGTGATATGCCTTATACAAACATTGCCATTAGAACTCTGGTTACTTGAGTTATCGTTTTCAAATAAGTAATTCTTAAACAAAACAATAATAACAGAGCTAAATACATGCACAAGCTTCACCTCTATTATGAATTCACCATATGTTCCTCTGAATCTCTTTCTTCCTAGAAACATCATTGTATTTCTTCACTTTACTTCTTTGCTTTTTTGTATAATATCTAACTGGATAAACTGAGCTATTACTTTCAATTTTGTTCAAGGGTAATACTGCTAAAAAGAATCCTTATCTGCAAACATAAGTCAAGTGAAAAAAATTATATTTTTTCCTCTTCAGCACTATGCTTAAGATAATTATTCTGAAGGAGTTAGGCGAAGTGTGCAATTACAAAAACATTCATCAGTAATGGCTTAAAGTGTAATAAAGAAATAATTAATCTGGAGCTCAGTGCCTATAGCTCAGTGGCTAGGGTGCCCACTGAGGGTGGGTTCATATCCAGCTCAGGCCTGCCAAGCAACAATGACAACCACAACCAAAAAATAACTGGACATTTGGGGTGGGTACTTGTAGTCCCAACTACTTGGGAGGCTGAGATAATAGAATCACATGAGCCCAATAGTTGGAGGTTGCTGTGAGCTGTGATACCAGGGCACTCTACCAATGGTGACAAAGTGAGACTGTCTGAAGAAAAAAAAAAGAAATAATTACTCTATTACAAAGAGATCTGAATTTGAAGTCTGCTCACTTCAGGTCATTGACCCAACATATCTGATATGTTTGGTTTTTGTTTGTTTGTTTGTTTGTTTTTGTTTTGCTTTTTCCTTCTGAAGCAAGATGGCTGCTTATGCTCAACTATCATTCATTTTTATTTGGGTTGGACATGTTGTCATCTCTAACCAAACAGTAATTTATTTACTTATTTATTTTATCAAAGGAGTATAACAAATATTGAGTAGACAATAATAATGCCTATCCCATCATTATCATTGGTATTTTAAACTTTTTTTTTGGTTGGTAGAGTCATATACTACACATTTCATTCTATGTCAATGTGTACACTTCCTTGTGGCAGAATTGTTAACTTTCCCAATAAGTGGTTCACATTTTAAGATCATAAGTATAAAAATCAGTTACTAAAAATAGAATCATAGTTAAAAATTTGAAAGTCAATAAAATTAATTGAAATAAAAGAAACAATCTGTGTAAAATTTAATGTCTACTTTTTTGTTTGAACATAGAAATTCCTTGGCGCCAGGAACAGTGGCTCATGCCACTGGGAGGCCAAGGCAAGTGGATTGCCTGAACTCACAGTTCCAGGAAATAACCTGAGCCAGAGCGAGACCCCATCTCTAAAAGATAGCCAGGCTTTCTGGTGGGTGCCTGCAGTACCAGATACTTGGGAGGCTGAGACAAGAGAATTGCTTGAGCCCAAGAGTTTGAGGGTGACTGTGACTGTGATGCCATGGCACTTCACAGAGAATGACAAAGTGAGACTCTGTCTCAAAAAAAAAAAATCCTTGAAAATTTAGTTACTGAATTTTTACAAAAATAAGAACTACCATTATTTCACATATAAATAAAAGAGACTGTATAGTATAAGTCAGTTAAATAGAAAGAAAATAATTTTGGTTTTTTTGCCATTGGCATTGAGATAAGAAACAATTATAGCATTACCTGAGATGCTATTGTCATTATTATTATTTATCTTTGGAAACATTAAGGAAAAATATGAGACAATGTGTAGCCAATTACTTGATTATCTACAAAAGCTATTTTTAGGAATACCAATTAATTATTTATCATAACAATCAATGCAAAGTTAAATATATTAAACTAAAATTGTGACTGTGTCCTTTTCCAAGAAACCACAGATTTTAGAAGAAATTACAAGGAAAAAAAACCATTTAATACATTTCAATCTAGTCACAAGCTGCAAGGCAATTTAGTATTAAATAATTCAGAAATGTTCTTGCCGGTGATTTAAGGTCAGACACATTTGATTGTCTATTTAATGCCACAGGAAAAGTGAAGTAAAATAATTGTCCAGGATTATTTAAAGAAAAAATGAAATATCTATTTATCTGTGGCACCTTTTGAAATTTTTCCATTGATCAAAATTATCATATTAATACAATAATACTGTTTCTGAAAAGTAAAATAATAAGGAAAGGCATAAAATGAAAAGCTATATTTTCCTCAATTCCCACATTGTCACCTCACTCCTACTCTCACTCTTCAGAGGCAGTTATTTTAAATAATTTCTTCTTCTAGAGTTTCCCATCATTGCCTCAATAATATATTCTTGCATTCAATTACCCACTTTAGAAGATATTGGACTTTCCATCCCTGTAAATCATGGTCACTCATATTTCTTCCTTTCCCCTTTAAGGTGAGAGAATTTTCCCCTCATCTTTCAAGTGCTAAAAATAATGTTCTTTTCTTCTATTAGTTACCTTTTCATAATTAAGTAATTTTCTTAGTCTTATATATTTTGTTTCATCAAGAAATCTGAGTACTTGTATTATTCCAGCCTTTTTCCAATTCTGTTTTTCATTTACTGATAAAAATGTTGGCTGCTTAAATACATTTGTAATAGAAAATGCTAACCCAGAGTGAGTGGCAAGTAATTATAGTTGATTGTTACAAATCTCACATACAATGAACTTCTCTCTAAGCACTTTCCTGAGACTAGAGGGGACACCTGACCAACTCTGACAAGCAGAATCTAAGTGCATGTGAGCAGGGCTGCTGGAAGAGGTTTTAAATGGAGTAGTCGGCATGCACATGGGCATTTTGCTCCTTTCTCCTTTCTAATTGTGTCTACTTGAAAGGTGAATATAACCCTTGGTGATATTATACAGAGGCATATTTTCATGTTGAGGAAAATATTGAAAATGGAATCTACACAACAGGGATGGGAAAAGGTTATGAAAAGCAATTGGGTTTCACCAAGAATCTGTCAACACCTCTGCAAACTGCAATTTTCTTAACTACAGATTTTTGTCTGCATGAGATAGTTTATTAAGTCATTCTTTATCATTCTTTTGTTTACTTTCAGTACTTCTTACTTGATTAAAGTGATTTGAATATATAGAGGGATTTATTTTCTAAAAATTCAGAAGTAGGTGGTCTTCTATTTAGTCCAGCAAGCCCAA